TTTGTAAATATTATTTATATGACAATAGAATGAAACACCATAGCTTGTAAGTTAACTAGAACAACATTTTTGCTAAAAAGGAAAAAAAAAACTTGTATATTCATTTTCCTAATAAATGAATGCTTCTTTCGTCAAAACATAGTACAAAATGATTCTAAATTATGTGAATGGATCTATGCAAAGAAGCATAGCAACAAACTTGCATCCTATAAATTGTGAACGAATTCAATTGAAGTTTGGGGAATTGATTAGCTACTAGTCGGAGGCTTCCAAGAACTTAGACAAGCACCAACCAATAAGAAGAGAATTCAGGGCCAATTGAAAGGATTAGAATCAAATAACCTTTAGGGCCAACTGAAACAATAAACCTTACTTGGACTTAACGATGTAAGGAATGGACAATAAAAGGCTAGAGAAGGAAAGGAGGCATGCAAAGCATTTGAAGCTTTTTTGAGCTTTCACCTAGATAATGAGAACCAATGTTTTCAAAACCGGACCGGACCAAAAAAACCAGGAATCGGTCTGTTTTACTCCAAAACATCTTTTTGACAAAAAAAAACCATTGATTTAGTCAATGAACTGTTGACTTCGGAAACTGACCTAGAACGATTCCTTGTTTAATCCGATTTTAAAAACCTTGACGAGAACGATGGTGGATGGGTCACATGGATACAATAGTCATTGTAAATACTAAGGAAATGGGGTGAGTAATAATAAAATCTTAGCAACAAGAATGGTGGAAATGTGAAATGAGGATCTAGGGTTAGGAATAAATTAGAGTGGAATATGCAAAGGTAGGAGAGTGATAGGGCGATAGAGCATTGACGGTAGAGTGATAGAGTGAACCTAGATAACCTGTAACAAAGGAGTAGAAGAAGAAAAGGGGGGAGGTGGTCATATAAGAACCATAGCTAGGAATAGATTAGCTTGGGAGATGTAGGTGTGAGAGAGTGACAATGACATAGCAAGGGGCAGTAAAGCGATATAGCAAACCTAGAGATCCTATGAGAAGGGAGGAGCTGAAGGAGGAAAGAAGGGGGAGGTGACCATTTAGTTTGGTGAGAGAGGATGAGATTAGGAAATAGATTAAAGCTAGTGAGGTTATTTATGGCATATTAGGTTTAAACTTTTTGACATGGCACTAGGTATAAGGATTTGGCACATAAGAATTTATGTTCCACACCAATTAATGAACACCCTCAAAAAATATATCAAACCATAAGTCACAGTCACATTTCATATATATATATATAAAGCAAAGCGGCTTTCTCCAAACCCTATTTCTTGCTTTCTCCTGAACTCTCTCTCCTTTCCCTTTCCTAGCCCTTCCATTAAGCCAAGTCAACACCTTCTCTCTCCATTCCTCTCCCTTCACATTGTACATTAAGTCACATTACATTAGTTTCCTTTGCTTCTCTTATGAATTTGAATTTTTTCCTTTTACAACATATATGTTTCCTAATTTTCTCTTATTTTTTCAGCAAATCAGATTGGATTGTATTTCCTTTGAGTAAATTTGGAGGCAACAACTCACCATGTCTCCATAGTCCATCCATTCCATCGTAATTAAAGGAGAAATAGAGACATGTTGTTCACATCTTCAAGAGACGTTTAGTTTGCCAAAGCATCTCATTCATAGTTTTTTACTTCATCTCCTTACCTTACAAATCCTTGATCCTTATTGTTTTCCTTGCTTTTTCTTCAATGGTTGTTGAGTTCTCCTATAGGAGAGTCATATACCAACGTTGCTTCATATGATAAACTCGACACTAGATCACTCTCCAAATGTGTATCCCTTTCTTGATGGTTAACTTGGTTGGAGCTCAAGAATGATAAGCATAAATACAAAACATGGCTAAAGTTTTGCATCCTATCAAGGTGGAACGCATGCATGGTGCCACAAGTAGTTGGAACATAAGCAATTGGATGGTTCTCTTAAATGCCAAGCTAATGGCCTTTTCTATTTGAGTCTTCTATTCTTTGTTAGGTGTCTCAGTTTTCTGTTCTGAATCAGGTACCATCATATCTTTTAGGAGGGGTCAGTGCTCATTTGTCAAATTTTCTTCTTTGGATCTCTCTTTTTTGTTATATTACAATTCTATTCCAATGGCTTGAGGCTTATAAATAGTGAAAGAGTGGTGGAAAAGAAAAATGTGTAAGCAAAAATTGGAACTGAAACAGAGGTGAAATTTTGGGGATGAATTGGATGGGAAAGGAAAGACATAACTTGGTAATAAAAGGTCTTAAACTGAAAATACTTATATGCATAAAAAAGAACTTGGGTGCCAGGTTTAGATAAACTAGTACTCAAAATATTGAAGTTTTGAGAACAAAAAACTATAAAAAAAGGAGGATATAACATTGTTGGTTTGGTGTTCAAGGAAACAATATGAAACATTCAAATTCTTCATAAATGGTTAAATTTAAATGAGTCATTTAAGACCCAATTTTGATTAGGTAAATAGATTCATTTAATAGATGGTTTTGGATCCATTTTGGGCATACCTCTATGTAATAGTAACATTGTTTTTGGAAACCCTCTATGCTATACTAAGTAATTACATGCATGGTATCCAATTATTTTGTGGTAGACTATGTCATGTATGATGCTAGATATTTGTTAGTTAAAAAACAAATATTGATTTATAAAAGAGTGATTTAACTAATTGACTAACTCTATCCTTATTGTTTATATATTGTCTTAAAGTATCCCTAAGTTTTATAACAATTGACATCACCATTAAGCATTAATGGAAAAAGGTGAAATGTCAAATTTGTCCTCCATTATTCCTTAAATTTTTAAAATGGAACCAATGAAAAGATCGTTGTCCTTTAAACTTTCAAAACAAACCAACTTATCGATGGTTGCTTTTCATCGGTAAAGATCATTGTTCATCTTTCTAAAAAGGAAGTTTATCTTTGTTTTTGTACATAGGCAAACGATACTGGTTTGAAAATAATAACTTAAGCAATCAATTGTGTTAGCTCAGGGTTTAGGTAGGGGAAATGGGGCTTTGCACTTCGAAACCATGGAAATATCTCGTTTGTCCACCGAAATAGGCGACATTGACCCCACTGTTAGATCAAAAAAGAAGGGCATCCAAGTATTGATAAAGAAATGAAGGGCATCCACTGATCTTCACAAACTCTGGCTTCCAACCATCGTAACCCATCCTTAATAGATACAAATAACATAATAGATACAAATAACATATCTGGTAGGACTGCCCTCTCTATTAGAGGTAGTGGTATTACCATTCATAGCTTGAGACACTAAACAAGAACATTTGAGCAAAGAAGGAATAGGGGAAAGCATTGCTAGAATGAGAGGTGAACGGTGGTGGATGTAGGGCAACGAACGAGAGCCAAGCGACTAGCTGAAGAAACCCTCAATATCTATTGATGATTCCAGACTATTGTTGTGAATACACATAAAGAATCGCTTAGGGTCAGGGGTGCGACTGCTGTTGTTGCCATTCATTCGTTCCTTCGGTTGCCCTCTCTTTTTAAATTGCCTTTTGTTACCTGAAACCAAAATAAACAATGCACCTACCGGATTTGTAGGTATGTTCGTAAGGTGTTCGGTGGGAGGCGAACGGTGCTGAATGGGATGGTCCATTACCTCCAATGGAGAGGGCAATCCACTCAGCAACAACACTGCTCCTAGGGTTGGGACAAACCCACCTCCACATAAGACTATGAGTCTCTCTCTCTCTCTCTCTCTCTTTGGTATTGCATCTTGACAACTAACAGTGTTCCTTGGTTGCTTTGTTTAGACCATCAATCCAACGATGGTGCCATTTTTTTTCTAATTTTAGAGAAAGGGTATTATTATCATTTTTTTAAAATATAACAATCACATGATGTGTGGCATGTGAGCAGATTGTGATAGAACCCTAACAGTAGGGGAGTAATTAGTCAATTGTCAAAAAACTTAAGGGCACTTTAAAATAATATGTAAAACAGTAAGGGTAGAGTTAGTTAGCTAAACCAAAGGGTATTTTAAGAAATTTTCCCTTTATAAAATTACTTAATAATTTAATTTTTTTAAACTAATAAAAAAGTAAATTTAACAAATTTTGTTTTTCTTCATAAAATTAATAAAAAATAAAAAGTATAGTAAAAATTGATATCCATTCAAAATCCACTTAAAAATTAATACAAAGTTATTTGACAATAATAAATTAAAAGAAATTAGAAAATAGGTAAAAAATAAAAAATAATACAAATCTTTTATTTCTAAAATTTGTTCTCATTAATTTAAATCACATTTAAAAGTTGGTACAGTCAAAGAATTTGAAACTTATGTTTGGGCTCGACAGAAAATTGCTTCTTTTATTTGGAATGTTCTAAAGCACCTTTTGCTCAATTTTGCTTAATAAGTCCGTGCATTGCACGGTCCCCGCTAATTCAATTATAGCCGATTATTTTATTTTTATCAAAATAAAAATAAAACAAATTGATCTTTTGGATGACGTGCAATTTTTTTGATTGAGCCCAAATTTGCCAGCTGGCACATCCAAATTTCTGATGTGCCACCGTGCCACGAGGTCCTCCATTTTGATCACATAACATAACACAACGGGCGGGTCACCTGGTGACACAGACATTTCGCTCGGAAGGCTTTAATCTGATAGGACACGGTCTCAACAAAACCCTAATCAGCCTATAATTAGGGCACGACAAATTAATAATTGGTCAAGGGATAAAACCACAGAGCACAGGACACGTGGCGGTAAACCTGTCCGGCATCCATTGGTGTTTTTCCTCTCACACGCCACGAAACCGGACTTTCTTGTTACACAAATCTACGACGTCCGTTGGGGCCCCACTCTAATAGAGTGCAGCATACGTCGTCCGTCCACGTAAGCAGCAAAAGAAGCCGGTCCCGAGGGCGATAGGACCGCTACCGTGAACGAAGCCCTACTGGGCAACCGGCTAACCGTTTGCTGCGGTTTCTCGCTCGCCCCTATAAAACGGATATAGACGGCGCCCGTTGCGGCTTTGGGAGCGGGATTTTAGAAGAAAAAGCCAGAGTGCTCTCTGAGGAGAGGAAGAAGAGGGGAGAAGGGAGAGCTAGAGCGGGTTCAGAGCCAGAGACACCCTTCGCTTCGAACTCGCTGAGACACTAAAGTACCCACAAACCCTAACCCTAACCCCAGTTTCTACTGTTTTGATTCATTATTCGCTTTGTTTTTGCTATTTCTAGTGTTTATGTTGCTTCAGATCTGTTCTCTTCCATTCGAAGTTTGTCCTTTCTGAGGTTTTGCAGGGTTTCTGTTATGGGTTTAACTACTTTTTTCTTTATTTTATTGTATTACGAAATTTGCCTCTGTGTTTTGATAGTGAAGTCATTTTTTCTTTCCTGGGCATTGGCTGTTATTTTGTGTTTTCGTGTCTGATTTCTTGCTTGGTCTGTGGAATTAGATGGATCGGTACCAGAGGGTGGAGAAGCCAAGGGCGGAGACGCCGATAAACGAGAACGAGATTCGGATAACCACTCAAGGGAGGATGAGGAACTACATTACTTATGCGACCAGTCTGCTCCAGGTCTTTTTGTTCTCCTTATCCTTTTGGCGAGTTTGGTTGTTGTCCATGTACAGTAAAAATTGTGAATGGTTAATGGTATTCCGAGTTGTCATAGAGATAAAATTACATCAAGGAAAATGGGCACCAAAAACGTACGAGTTAAGAACAAATCATAAAAATGTAAGAGTTGAGAAAGAAAAGGAAGATAATAGTTTGCGAGACTATTCCTCATTTTCCTTGAAATCATATTTTGAGAAAGGTTCACAACCCATTCTTATATATCAATCATGATTGCATCTGTACCTTCTGGGGTGAGTTTGCTGTAAGTTATGAACACATGATCTGAAGTTTTGTATCAATTCTTTGCAATTGATAAATATGGTATGTAAGTTGTTTTTTAGCGTTTTTTTTTTTTCATTTTTGGAGGTCTTGATAAAATTTATGTTTATTATCTTCCATGCTGATGTGTCTCACAAGAAAGCAACATTTTTTTTTTTTTTTTGTGATTTGGAGTTCTTTCCTATTTATGATATATTCTGCTATAATTATTACTAATTAGAACATGCCGTATTTAGGATTTTTGTCCTATAATTTTTTGTACCAGCTATGATCAGTGTGTGACATTATTTTTTTTGTTATAGAATAGTCCAACAGATTTCACAGCCACTTCTGTAATTTTTGTTCAGACGAAATTCATTTTGTTATAGAATGGTTAGTTTCATTAAGGTGATTATTAGCAAAGTAAAAGATGAAACTAACCATTTCTTACTAATGTTTCTGTTGTGTCTGACAACAATATATCAATTTACTGCACAACTTGTCAGCACAAGCAACTATAAGAAAACTGTTAGTACAAGCAAGATCTGGCATGCTTGCTGAACCGGGTTTCTTATAGTACAAGCAACCATAAGAAAATTGTCACCAAAACTTGTTCTAAAACTGGTTTGTTTTTCTCTATAGGAGAAGGGTTCTAATGAAATTGTTCTTAAGGCCATGGGAAGAGCCATCAACAAAACTGTGATGATTGCTGAACTGATTAAGGTAGGTAGGATGTGAGTTACAACTGATTTTATTGTTTTTCCAATTTCTGTTGTGTCATTTGGATTGAACATTTGAACTAAAATGCATGTCACTTTCAGAGAAGGATTGCTGGTCTCCATCAGAACACATCAATTGGGTCTACTGATATAACTGATATGTGGGAGCCACTTGAAGAAGGCCTGCTCCCGTAAGGGTCAAAATATATACTTGCGACCTCTAGTTTCTTCCACAAAAAGTATGATAAACTTCTAGGCTAATATTTTTGCTCTTCTTGCAGCTTAGAAACCACTCGCCATGTTTCAATGATAACAATCACTTTGTCAAAGAAAGAGCTAGATACATCCTCCACTGGGTAAGAAAGAATAGTCTCAATTGAGATGAAGGGTTTTATCCTTTTCCTTTTCTCTATTTTTCTTCTTGCTTTTGCTGATAATGTGAATCATCAATAGAAAATCTTGATTCACTGGGACTCATAATTTTAGATTTTTCCATCAGATTGTACTATCATGTAATTTTGTCAGTTCCCATTCACACCGTATTGATTTGTTGTGCCTTCATGTTAATGATTTAAAGGTAGATGCCCATGAGAAGCTAATACTGTGATTCTGGAACCTCATTGAAAAGTCTATTGCCCTTGGAAAGGGATTCACAAGAAGGGTGAATTTGTTTAGATGTTTATAAATGTGGCATTCAGTATTCCAACCACCTTATTGATTTGTTGTGCCTTCATGTTAATGATTTAAAGGTAGATGCCCATGAGAAGCTAATACTGTGATTCTGGAACCTCATTGAAAAGTCTATTGTCCTTGGAAAGGGATTCACAAGAAGGGTGAAGATATTTTGTTTAGATGTTTATAGATGTGGCATTCAGTATTCCAACCACCAACCCCTATTGAAAAAGATGGGCTCTTAGTTGTTTTAAATATAGAATGAGATGATTCTAATCTGGGACTGTTATTCCACTAAAATTTGGATGTTGTTAATACTTGTTTTTCTTTAGATTGAAATATAGTTATTGAACATTGAGAAAAGACTTGGTTGGTGAGGATATGGTGCTTGCAATTTATAGACCACTAACTTGTTTCCTTTTAGAGTTTGAAATGTTCTGTAGGGCATTAGATGCAATATATGATTATTTTGCCATTTTTTTTCTTTAGAATCTATTTTAGTTCTATAATTTGCATGGTGCTTCCTTGTAATTGTGATATTTACCTAAATATCTGTGTTTCAGGAGACTATATATTTCATTTTTTGAGAATAAATCCATTCTTCTTGGTGGACTGCTATTGGGTTTTAGAAATGACATAGAGGATCTGGATTGTCTCTCTTGTCCTTTGTTTTATATTTGGTGAATGATCCTCATGGTTGCTTTTTAACTGCTGGATTTTTCACTCTTTCCTAAAATACAGATACCAACCACCTATTCCAGTTGATCAAGTAAAACCATGGGCTGAATTTGACTATGAAGGAGGTTAGGAATGATTTTCACTTTTTTTTGGTAATTTTTTTTGTTGACTTTCCTTTACTTTTGTGAATATATGGTTAGAATTTAATTTTTTATCTCATGTAACCCAGAGGGCTCTCCTGCCATGCGAGGTAGAGGACGTGGTGGTCGAGGTAGGGGTAGGGGCAGAGGTATTTTTCTATCTCTTCAAAATTATATTTTCATGCTTCGAAACTTGTAATTGTGGCTCATTATTTTCTGAATTTTTACAAAAGTAGTCAGACTATTATACTGATAAAAAGAGGTAGTCAGACTATAGAGGACAACACCTAGTTCTTTATTAAAGTCTAAAACAGTTAGTCTCAGTTTGGAAAGAGTACAAATACAAATACGTGCATTACAAATGCATACAAAATAATACTAAATACAAGGTTTTACAATCTACATATATTGTATTTGTACTCCTTCCAAACTGAGCCTTTAAGAAAAGGTGTCAATACTAAAACATCTTAGTGAAAATTTCTGTCTTTGAATGAGACTGAGCTTTGTATATTCTGATCATGTCACACAGATCGATATAAAAATTGAAATTTTCTTACCTTTCCATTCTGAGAATATCATGGTTCCTGATAGTTGACAATGCATCATAGACAACCAACTGCCAGCAGGTGGCCACTGCAAATTAATGTTCAAGACTTCAAGCAATGATTTAAAAGGCGCGCCTAGGTGCATAGTAGAGGCGCATTTTATGGTAGGCGCCTCACCCAGGGCCTAGGCGCAGCCCATTCAAAAGGCGAAAGCCTGGTGCGCCTGGTGCACCTTGTGCCTTAGCCCAGGCGTGTGCCTTTGGAAAATTTGCCGCTTTTTCCATTTTTTTGAGTCTGGTCGCTGGGCCCCCCCAGACCCCCGTGCCACGCCCCTCGAGGCCAGCCCAAACAAGGCCATGTTAGGGTCTTAAATTCTTAGTTTTCACACAAAAAATAATAATTTTATAGTTTTAATTGCTTTTAAGAAGATATTTTATTAGGATGAATGAATGGACAACATTACCAAATAGGGGATTCTTGAAGCTTCGGTGAGCGATCCTAATAAAATATTTTCTTAAAAGCAATTAAAACTATAAAATTTTTATTTTTTGTGTAAAAACTAAGAATTTAAGACCCTAACATGGCCTTGTTTGGGCTTGCCTCGAGGGGCGTGGCACAAAGGCGGCTCGTAGAGTTAGGAATGTAATATGTCACATTAGCTACCTACTTGACGCAATTGAGAAAAAAAAGAGATTGTGGGTTTTATATGTTTGATTTCATTTTTAAATTCTCATTTGAATATGCTTTACATAATTATATTTATGTATTTTAATTTTAGATAATAGGTTTTTTAAAACATTTATTTTAAAACTTAAGTTTATATTTTTATTAATATTATGTTTTATAATTTTTTGCATTTTTTTGATTTTTTAGCTTTTTTTTTTATTTTGTGCCTTGCCTCGAAAAGGCGCGTGCCTCGCCTGGCCCTTGCACCTTGCACTTTTAAAACACCGACTTCAAGTTACAAAACTGGAAAGACCATTTTCTTTATTTATGGCTGCTACAAAGTCTAATAAGTTGACAAGGATTTGAAGCATGTTGCTTGAATGATCATACACGTTTCAATTGTGTGGGAATGCTAAATTGGTTTGCCATGTTTTTCAAGTTCTTAGGTCCTTCGCAGCTAATTAATTGTACTTCTATATATTCAGTTTGTAGGCCTTTTGCGGTCTTTTCTTTTATACTTTCTATTTCAGCCTTTGTTGTAAAGTTTAGAATACATGATTCATATCATGTTTTCTTGTGATTATAGGAAATAACAATGGTATGGGGGAGTACAATGGAGATGGAGGTTGGGATGGTGGGCGTGCGTATGGTGGAAGAGGCAGAGGCCGTGGAAGAAGCCGCAATTTCCGTGGGCGTGGAAGAGGTTATGGTGGTGATGCACAACATGAATCTGGTGGTTATAATGATTATGGTGGATCCGAAGGACCAGCAGTCCAAGGCCGTGGTAAGCTGATGCATTCAACTGTGACACTTCAATTTTTCCCATTCCCATGATTTTACATAATGATTCAGATTCGGTCAACCAGCATTATTGTTTTTATCTATGAAAGGATTGGTGTGCTATAAGCTTGTCACTTGGCAATTGACGAGATTCCAGATGGATGGGCAATTATTACGTTTTAGCTCTTCCAATGTTTCATATATTTTCTTATTCCTTTAGATCGTTATTTCCCACCCCTTCTCGAGTAGTCATACTTGTGTTGAGGCTTTATGTGTGAATGTGTTTCATATGTTTTCTTCTCCTTTTTTACTTTAGATTGCTATTTTGGTGCTTTGGGAGGAGCTCCAATGCTACTCTCCTCGACCTTTGTAGTTTGTTTACTGTTTATCCATGGAAAAAATTTCAGCTAGGCTATGTTTGGTTTGAAGGAAAGGGTGAGGAAAGGAAAGGAAAGATGGGGAAACCAACAAGGTTTGTAAAGGTTTTCCTACCTTTCCTTTCCCTACTTTTTCCTTCAAACCAAACACAGCCTAAAAGTATCGCATGAGCATATATGCAATTATCTCCTTTGGTTCTCATGCAGCCTCCCATATGTATTTTCTTAAATGTTTTTAGTAAGTAGTGTTATTTTGAGTTTTGCAGGGCGTGGTCGCGGTAGAGGAAGGGGCCGTGGTGGGCGTGGAAGGGATTTTAGATCAGATGGGCCAATCCAGGCAGCTGCTTGAGCCCTAGACTCTGCTGAGAACCAATATTTGGTTAGAGTGGAAAAGAAGTTCTGGATGCCTGCTCTGCTGATCATGTTATTTCTTCTTCTAAGAGAGAATGGACTTTTAACTGATATATTTTTAGGCAATTTCAATCGATTGCTAGTGGTAAGCAGCTGCTGCAATCGTTGTGCAGCAGCTATGTTTTTGTAGTTAGGTTGGTAGGATTATTCTCATTTGTTATTGGCAGAAAAGAATCATGGTGTTCGATATACCCAGAAAAAAATTGTACAATTTCTCTGATGCTTTTTTTTTTTTAGGAAATAATAGAGCAGTACATTCTTTCATTCTTCCAACTTTTCTACCCCTGTTTTGAGTTTAAAGTAAAACATTTCAACGCTGAGCCCACTGTGTTTGTTTCTTTTAGAGACGGCTGGTTCTCAATATCTGTCGAATGTCTTGTGGTTGAGAGAGAGAGAAATCATTTACATGCTTTGTGCCTTTGTCTTTGTTACCTAGCCACCAAGATGGATCCCCAAATGCTTCAGTGTTGATTGTACAGTAGAGCTCGCTCTTAAACCCGTATTTTGTGTCCCCAATGTTTGAATTCCAGAGGCCAGGGCATCTATATTAGCGACAGATCAGTAGTGGTTCGGAGTTTGGACTGAAGACGGATTCAAACCCCGTGATTTCTCCATGTTCCACCGTGAACATTATCACATTCCTAAACAATCTCCCAGAATTAGACTACAGGATGTGCTTTTGGCTCATTAGCTTATCACATTCCTAAACAATCTCCCAGAATTAAACTACAGGATGTGTTTTTGGCTCATTAGCTGTTCCTATTATCAGACAATCCCTTGTTGAGATATTTGAATAAAAAGAGAAAACGGAGGAGATACAAGGCATCATCGCTCGGTGGAATTGCGTGCAAACTTTCTACCATAAGCTCCCTCCTAGTTGGCTGCCGAAGTATTTTTTTTGTTGGTAAATCTACAAACCTTCCTCGCTCACATGCCAAAACAGATAGGTGGCTGTCATGATTTCTTCTTGAGGCACGCCGCACGCCGCACGCCGCACGCCCCAGCCCCAGCATTACCAATGCTTCTAGCCTTCTATAGAGGAGTTGGATTTACTACCCACGGTACACTTCCCACACTACCCACAATGCAATACAGCCGTAGAAGTGGAGTGTGTCAACCTACAATGGAGAATTCCCCTATGTATGGCTGTATTGCCCTGTTGATAACGTGTTAGTAGCGTCTTATGGGTAATATATCTGAGCTTCTTCCTAGAGATGCCCTTGCTTAATTCTGGAAACCTAATTGTTTTGTCCAAGTATATTGCCCATTTGAAATGTGCACTTGAAATGATTCAAATGATTCATGACTAAAGATGCATTTTTGAATTTTGATGTGTTGGATGTTCTAAGTCCAGTTTTACTTGTCACAGTGTTCCTCGCACCGATCTCACAGCATGTCCTCGCCACACATCGGGAAACCTCCTGTACTTGTATTTATTATTCATGGAGAGATGTTTTCAATATGGGATGTGGCTGTGAGGTTGGTGGGAGGAGAGCTCTGTAAGAAAAAGATCTTAATTCAGATGATCCTAGGGTATTACTAAGGTAAGAGTTACCAAAATCAAGTTTTCTGTTTATTCCACCATATGGAGTGCAAATTTCTTCACTCTGTAAAACTTGGATTTTTGCTTATTCTACATGGAAACAAATAGCATTTTGCCATTTTCTCTGCATCATTCATATGCACCTCAAAGGCAAGTGTTTTACGAGTTTTCACCCCTTATTTTGGCAAGAAATGTTGGGCGGTTGGCATAGGTTGAGGTTTATTTCTTCCATTTGTTTGGTTCTATATTCTATTCGAATGTCCCTTTAATGTTTTAATACTAAGATCACTAATAGTTTCCTTTCAATTTCTTAGAGATCCATTGCCTTTACTCGATGTTAAGAAATCAGAATAGCAACGTTGCAAAGTATATTAGAGAGGCAATTTTAGGATTATGTATTGCAAATACACCATACGCTATGAACAACTTATAGATACAATGAAATGATTAGAATAGACATTTGATACATTAGGAAACTCCATATCAACTCAACAAATGCATTAATAACACTAAAACACAAGGTTCAAACCATGGTTTTTAAAACCGGACCGGACTGGACGGTTGGACTGGAAAAACCAGAAACCGGTCATCTGACTGGTTCCGTTTTCCCCAAAAACCGGATTTCCCCCCAAAACTATTGATTTTGGTCAGTGAACCACTGAATCGGGTGGTTAACCGTTTTGACCGTTTTTTAATTTAATTTTTTATTTTTCTGTCAGAACGGGCTGAGCATTCAGTTCGAACGGTTAGACCATTCGACCTAGTAACTGGACCCCTGACCGGTTTGGTCACTGAGTCGGTTTTAAAAACCATGGTTCAAACAACTATAAATAAAGCATAAGCACATAATAAAAACACCTTTCATAGTCATGATTTTCCTGTTTTTTAATGGACAAAGGCATGTGTTATATACACATATGCAAGTAAATGGTAACTAAAGATATAATCTGATATTGTATATCAAATTTAATTTTTATGACCTACACCAAAACTAAGGCAAGTATCTACTTTATAATAGTATAGTTCTTAAAATTATCTATATCTATGCATATTAAAATGGGATGTGCCAAGCAAGTACTTTCATGCTTTTTGGTTATTTCTAAGAAACACTTATCTTTTTTTGGTTGTTTTTAAGAAGCATTATCTTTTCTTTTTGATTTTTTTTCTCATTTTAAAATTGAATAAAATAACTTAAGTGGCCAATAAGCTTTAAGACTTTTTATCTCCTCTCATTAACTTACCATTAACATTTGTCTTTCTCATTAACACCTTTAATTATCTCTTCTCATTAATTATGCCATTATTTCTCTCCTTCGTTCATGCCATTAAATCTCTCTCCTCTTCATTACTCCATTAAATTGCCTAAAATTCATTAACTTTATCTATATCTATATCCATTTTTATTTATCTATAATTTTATAAAGATTAGATATGTTTATCTTAAATTATAATTATCAACAAAAATAATTATATTAAAATGAAGATATTCAATGATATATTATTAGGCTAAATAATCAATTTCAATTTCAAAGATAATTAATTTTTAAGTTGATTAATTAAGTAATTTATATTTTAGAATAAATATTATTTAGTTCACTCAACAAATAAAACTAGTGTTTTAAAAATCAGTTGGAGGCTAAATAGTTTTTGCCTCTAGGTTGTGGGTCAATGGTTCAACTGTCTGAATTGGATAAATCAAACCATGACGCATTGTGCATCTGTATATGTATAATATAATTACATTTTGTGTGTGTATATATTAGTTTAGGTTCAATTGTACTTTTCATTTTCATTTTTAACTTTTTTATAAATAAAGATATAGAAATTGAAACTTGGGACCACAAATGATTTTTTTTAGGTATAGTGGGGTTGCAAAGATTGTGAAAAGTTACCCAAAATAGAAAAATATTATCCCAACTAGACAACTAAGGACAAAGTTAAGTCCTTAAGGAGTTTTAAATGCATTGTATATTGTAACCTATGACCCAATGACTAGATCAAAAGGGTCAATGATTCATTTGTCTACGTTGAACGGGTTTTGATCAAATCAACGGTTTTTGACAAAATAGTACGGTATTGGAAACCTAAAAGGCCAAGTGATGGTTCAAATTGTTTAACCATTTAAGTCAATGGTGAGTTAAAAACATTAAATAAAACATCCTAACAATTGTAGTCCATTTATATTCCATTTGAAATAATAAAAATTAATTAACTATAGTAAAAATAATTTATTAAATTACTTAAATAAAATAAAAATAAAAATTAATTATTAGTATTATTATTGATAAATTTTTTATTAATATAATAGTTTAGACAATAAGTAGAGAGTGCAACCTATACACCCCTAAAAAACCTAATGTTATTGCTTTATAATTAATTATTATTTATTTATTAATCTCTCTCTCTCTCTCTCTCTCTTTCAAAGCAATATACTATTATTATTATTATTATCATTTTTAAAAGTAAATCAAGAATACATATGAGATATTAGAGAGAACAACTAATAGGTTTGACTTTTGACAGAGAATTAATAATCATGCTTAAGAACTAGGGGTCAAGTCACTTATGACTTTCACATTATACAATGCCTAGGGGCTATGCCTAAGGGTCAGACCTGCACACCAATCATTAATTAGCTGGCTCTTGTGAATTGGGAAATAGGAATTGAGACATGGGAATGGTTATGCTAAGGTCACATGCATTATTACCATATACTCAGTTTGGTTCAGATTTACTTTGATTTACAAATTTATACACCGCAACAGAACTATTCAGTTGGGTTTTTCTTATTTCTAAACCGAAACAACTAGCTTATTTGAGAACCAACTACATCAGTTCGAGTTGGATCAGTTTGGTCGGTTTTTACAGTAGTGTGAACAACCCTAGTATTTTGAACTACAATATCACCATTAAATGTCATTAATAAGGTTAGACTCACCAAAATAGCCTTAAACTTGGAATTTACACTAAATATGGTGCAATTGTTTTGGGTAGTAATTCAATTTTCAAAATATAATTTCAAAATTCAAATTTATTAAAAAATTTAAAATTCAAACAATTGTATCCGCCAATACATTGGATATAGGTGATATACCTATGCCACATGCTTGTAAAAATAATTACTTTAATAAATTAGTTTGTGTTTAATATGGCTTTCTCACTTATATATATATATATATATATATATATATATATAGACACACACACACACTAAATTAATGTTATGTCTCTTTGTGCTCCCATTACCCCAAGGGTATAATCTCTCAAAATCTCTCTCTCTAACCATTTCCTATAATCTCTCCCAACCCACACAAATGGAAACTTTCCTAAAAAGCAACCCGTCCATGTAGTCACGTGGCAGCCTTCTCTTCTTCATTAGAGATCCACTCCATCTCTCTTTCTCTCTCATGTTCCCAAACCTAGCCAACCCCCTCCTAAAATTTCTCCTAAACTATCTCTCCCACCTAAAATTCCTCTTAATCTATATTACATGCCCAATAAACCATCTAAAAACCAGAAAAGGTGGTTAAATTAATCTTTGAAATATTTTGATATTTCTTCTTCAAAAAAAATATTTTTGATAAGTTTCCTGATATTTTGAATGTAATTCAGTAAATATCAACACCCAAACTATATTTTTTTGTAATTTTGGTAAATTGGAAAGTATGATTATTAAAAATTACATACTGAAAATTACTGATTTTTGTAATTTAATTTCATAAATATTTGAAAATTAATTATTGAAATCAATAATTACTGAAAATTTGATAATTAATT